ATGACAATGAACCGTTAACACCGGCCCACCTACTATGTGGTCGTCGTATTACACATGGTTCATTGGTCAATATAGAATGTCCATGGGTTTGTCTGTTTCTTTTATACTATAAGCAATAGGTCATCTATATTCTGTGTATGGAATGATTGTAATAAGGTGTACATGCATTTCCAGCTTGGTTTATCTGACCTTGACCTCATTTTCTTGGATCATAAATGTTAATGTGATACTTGTACTAAAACTTTATATGTAGGACTATCAACATAAAATCAATGGTCAGTATAGTAGGCGAGACATTTCAGCGTGTGCACTTTTGTTTAATTTAAGACCCACAATCCACCTTTGTCGTGATCAAGCACGCGGAAACAAAAGGTTGGGAAGGAAAAAAAATGTATAGATATATTAAAATCGAAATTAAAAGAAAAAAGAGTTAAAGGGAAACTCCGAAAAAAAAATGAAAAACTGATATTATGTTCATTATGTATAAAAAAGCACAAATTCATAAAAAATTAAAGTTTTATTCTCCTACATAAGATATCACCTTCGATTTTAAATTGAGAATATCAATTTTCTACATGTAGCCATCTTGACGGCATCCCGCTTAATAAAGCCATGTGACAAACGCAGACACAATTACATAGATCCTAAAAAAAATTATCCCAGACATGTTTTCTACCTATCGGCAAGCTTTTTTTTAATTAACTTCATACGGAACAAGTTTTTTTTTAGATAACTATAGTCTGTCGTTTTTAATCTGTTCTTTTTACTAAGTTTATGAAACAAATAAATGTAGGGGAATTAAAGTTAAGATTACTTTTATAGATTCTCTCATAGTTCAAAGTCAAACTAGCGGTGTTCCGTGTAAAAAAAGTTTTCAAAATCTGATGTATTCATAACGCTTAATGTAATATATTTATTTAATTCGGTCCTTCCCTAATTTAATCATCAGCATAGCTAACTGAATTATTGCAAGAGGTATTGTGAGGTGACATGACCAGGTATTCAACCGATTTCCTGTCGGGCTTAAAAACTCTTTTTACAAAATTACGTAATGCAGGTTCGTGCATCGCTTCTCTGCTGACCTTATAGATCCAATGTGTATAGATCAGTGTACACGGATATGTATATTGAAAAAAAGAAACCTCCAAAACAGATCCAATTTAAAATTCAGATCAATCTCTAACTTGCTTTACTTCCTCGAAGTTATTAACATGAGCATAGTATAATCACAGATTTATATTTCAATTCGATTGTTCTAGAACAGATTAAGAAATTCGTCATCACAATTGTTAGTTATAGTGTATAATAATGTGAACCTAGTGAAATAGCACGTGAAATTCCGACTGAGCCAGACTTCCTATTATATGTCTCTGCTTCGGCGGTTCATTTGTGAAATAGAAGAAAAGAGAACAATTAGCATCTGAGTGGACCTTCGTTTCGATCAAGCTTCAATTGATTACAAAATATTCAAAGATTTACGACTTATATTGAATAAAAAGATGTGGGATATTATTGCCAATGACAGCGACCAAATCAGCCCAATTAATTTTGTGTGCGAATTATATCAACTAAAGCCGTAATTCCGCTGTAGTGCACAGATCACATCTGTTTTAACTTGTAGGTGCAAGAAAAATACACTTAACTAAGTTTAAGAGTACACAACAACCCTATGTTTGTGCATAATACCTGTGACTACTATAACACATTATAGTAGTCTCAGATTATACGCTCGGGAATATACGTTTTACTATATTTCATGGATTATTAGCAAATGCTATTTTTCAACACTAGTTCGGATTAAATTAAGTAAGGAGGTTATGGTTTATAATTCGGATAGGTTTTGGCTGACTTGGTGTTATACCACCTGCCCCGTACTCGGTATTTTTTCACATAAATCATATAAATTTCAGATCCTTCAGTTTGCATATAAATATCCTTATTGAAATTTCGTTTAAAAACGTACACACCTAAGACGTCACGAATAGTAACGTATGGCTTAGTACAACATGCAGGCATAAACCTGTCGTTGACAGTGATACGACCACGAGACATGGATACTACAGATACAAAAATATATCATCATTCGAATAACCATGTTGAGTTTACACCTACCAAACCACTAAAACGTATCGCTAAGTATACCATGCAGGCATTAAGATATATTGAGGGACCACTTACAACACCTCAAAAAAAAAGAAACACGCTCTATTCATAAAAATAAATGTGTGAATAAAGTTTATTTGATGAGGAAAATTAGTCTCCTTTGATCTCGAGCTAACTTGTTCAACAGCTAATTAATTAGCCTAAATTTCTAATGAATATTGATCCTTTAATAAAAGAAATGATAATCGGCAATCTATTTAAAAAAATAATTCACCCGGGAAACAATCTCCAGGTGATTGCTACTTGAATTTTATTACGTATACATCGAAATACAAGTTAAAGAATTCTGGTAAACTAAATTAAACACATGTGCAATGGTATCCCTCTATTAAACTTGGGGAAATATAGCATTAATCTATTCTTTTATTCTTCATATTTGAATATTTATGTTAATTGCAGAGAACGTAACCGAAAATTTTTCCTTTTTTAGTTTCATTCACTGCTGGAAATAAAAATTTGAATTTTATTTTCAAGGAAATCGTACAATTATTTTTTTTCTCATTGTCATCGGATATTTAATCTCGGTGTATTAAACTCGCTATGCCGGTTATTTCTGTTAATCCATTCAAAATGACAACATATTCAAACCTGTAAAAGCGTACGTTTGAGGCTTAATTGCCCTTAGGTAAAATATACGAATTGTTTTACAAAATGCTCATCTATTCGAGAAATAAACAATTCCTTACCAAAATAACAGACACATTCTATTCACACAGACTTTACGTTGAAATGAAACTATAAAGGTAAATAAAAATGAAAAATATTTTTAGTTCAATATCAGAAATAATTTGTCTTCAATAAATATTTCCGAAAAAAATCACAACTATTAATAAATAAAATTAAATCGCAAAAATATATATAAGATTTTTTATTTAATAAATGCAAAACGTTACATGTGTGTTCGTATTCTTCTTTTTCTTCTTTTTCGGTTATTAGGTAGGAGAAACGGTCATCTGCGCGCTTTTAAATACGCAAAAATTCGATAAGCGATTAAGACTTTAACAGATTTTATTATTTCCCAGCATTTACTAAATCGGGTTAAAACGTCACAACCCAATGACGTATGTTTACCAAAAAAGTTACAAATATTTTATCCGTTATTAGAGGGAATATGAATTTAAAACTTTGTGAATGTGTTTTGTATGTTACGAGGAACATATTTAGATGATAAGTAAAAAATCGCGGATTTTACCTTTAACCGGTGTCCCCCCTGGTTTTAAAATTGGTTCTTGTTGTGCAATCTTACGGTTTTTTATAAGTTTTTGGAGTACATATTTGTTAAACGTTGTTTGTTTCTTCTCCATTTTTGCCGTGTGGTTGTGTTTTTTTCTTCCTCTTAGTAACATCGTATTTCTTTTTCTAAAAATAGAATAAAGGAAATTTTAATGACCATTGGGATATTCCAATCTTTCCATTGTTATAACTCATACAGATTTATCCAATAAAACTGTTTAAAATGTGTGTAATAAATTATGAACTATGGCGAAGTACTTAAAACGTGCATAACGATCATACAGGAAAGGATAAGTTTGAACATAATGTATGGTGACATTAAAAAATGAAAATGAAGTGTAGAATTTCCAATCAAAATGTATTCTTGTAATATTAAAGAAAATAAACTTAATAAAACACATTCTGTCGAAGTGTAAGTTTGTGAAGACAAAGACAATAGTGAGTGTTAATGCTAAGATCGTCTCACTCATAAATCTTAACAGGGAATTTTGAAACGTAAACAATTTTTGAATTTATTACCGGTATTTTTAAACTTTAATCATTCAAATAAAAAAAACAATTTCACTGGAGACTTTTACGATGTGTCCAAATACTGAACAATTTTGGTTATGTCGAGTCTTGCTTGCAAATTTAACAGAATAAAACCAATGTTTTAACTCGTTATTAAAGTATTCTAAGAAAATAGAGACAAAAAAAACTTAATTAGATTAATTTTTTCTAATGATTGTAATATTTGTCTCGGCTCAACTGACAGAATATGTATGTATTTTCAGACTTTTCAGATAAGATAAACTGTCACAGTCCATGAACTAAGCATGGTGTTTACGAGTCTCTTGGAATCATATTTCTAAGAGGCTCGTATAAGTATTACATTCACCTATGCCCAATTTAGGTGTATTGAATTCACACCAAGATATTATTAAAATTGAGAATGGAAATGGGGAATGTGTCAAAGACAACCCGACCAAAGAGCAGAAAACAGCAGAATGATTGTTTTCAATAATTTAGGAAAAAGGGGGGGGGGGGGGGGGGGGGTGGTCTTTCAGTGATTTGACCATATGTTATTGAAAAGCATGATAAATGCAGAGTATCTAATTTCATTAAACGACATCTTGGTGTGAATGGAAATATAGTCGATTTTGGTCCATCAATTTTGTATTCGCTTCATACGTTCCTAGTCTATTTCATGAAAACAAACTTGAAGAGCGAAATGAGATAAAAAAAAATATTCAACATGTTTACGAAGATCTTCTTTTAAGAGTAATATCGAACGACTTAAATGTTTATTTACTGTCGAATTTATCACATGTGGAATATTTTGAAAGTTATTCGGATATTATAATCAATATGTTTGTGTACTGATGAGGTCTGATTATAAACTTATTTTTAGATTTTTATTTCACCTTTGTACAATTCAAATGTTTATCATTACAAAACTTGACAGGTTTTTTAGATGTCATGCCAAAGGGCATTTGATTGAAACGTAATACTTAAACATTTATTATATAAATTTGAACTTCAAACTCCAATTTGAACTTTCTAAAGATATCCTTATCTACTGGCAATATGAAAAACCTTCCTCAAATTTAAAAATAATATAAAATGGTGGATTAAAGAGTTGATTTAACCATATAATTTTTAACCCTTGGAATCGAAATCATTATTTTAGTTTATTTTGGATGTGAAAATGAAGAAGACAATATACCTGATCGCTCTGTCAATCATCATAACAGTAGCAAATGCGAATCTAGCATCGTCATGTAGGTACAAGAGAAATAGAAACCATAGGCTAATTGCTCATTGTGAAAATCGGGGATTTACATCTGTGCCAAGGAATCTCAGACGTGATATCTACGAGTTAGTTCTTTCAAATAACTCAATACACATGCTGAAAAACAATTCATTCATAAATTGTTCGAAAATGGAAAGTCTTATTTTAACCAGAAATAATATATCAGTAATTCACGGGGATGCTTTTGCTGGACTAAATTCGTTAAAAATTTTGAAGGTAAATGATAATTTGATTAACATCACAATCATTCCAAAGGGTATATTCAGACATCTTAGTAATTTAACTGTTCTAGATATCAGTCGAAATAAAAAGCCATTGCATTTGATAATACCTTTTATTTATCCCGATGTCACACTTTCTACACTGAACCGGTTACAAAATCTGTCAATGGATCTATTCATGTTTCCTGTATTTCGGTCAGGATTCACTGCACTTCAAGACCTTAACGTGTTGAACTTTGATACTTGTTATTTGTATAACATTAGTGGATTTAAGCTTTTGAACTCAACATTTTTAAACTTCACTCCAAACCTGAAAGAACTTTACATCAGCGGTTGTCGCCACTTTTTTCTAATGGAAAATGGACTGTTGGAATATTTTCCTAACTTGAAAATTTTAGATCTGTCCGAATCGTATATTCATTTGTATCAAGCGTTGCGCATTCTTCATCCATTTCAGAATAAGAACATGTCCGTTATAAATTTTCACCATATAAGTGATAACAAAATCAATGAAAACGATTTTCCGTACTCTGTTATCATTACAGAAGAATTAATGAAATATCTAAGAACTATTTGCATTGAAGCATTGGATTTATCCAAAGCTGGAATAGTGGATTACCAGCAAAATTCTTTGTTTTCGTTCAAACATCCGGAATGTTTCAAAACATTCATTATATCAGCTAATAGATTACCTGCAACAACATTAGATCATTACATGCAAGTAGTTAAGTTTTTCAAAAGCGCAATCAACATTAAAGTGTACGATTTTTCTTATCTTACTGTAGATTATATCCATCCAGTGTATTTGAACGTGTACCATCCGGGAGTTTTAGATCATTTTCCAGAAATAACTAAAACAATTCAAATTCCTCTGCATATTAATTTCTCAATTCCATCGTCGATAGAATTTCTTAGATTTACGCATATACAAATAGCTTTTACATCAGCGTCTTTCACATGTACCAACACATCGCTAAAATATCTCGATGTGTCATTTGGTGTTTACCAAAATTATCCTGATTTTACAGACGACTGTGGAAAGCAAATGGAATATTTGGACATTTCTGGAATTCCAGTAACAATCATAACATTTCCATCAGTATTCATGCCAAAACTTTCAATACTTAAAGTGACGAATGCACGCATAGACCAAATTATACTAAAAGGTAAACAATGGATGGCTTTCAGAGCTCCGAATTTGAGAAAAATAGACATATCTTTTAATAATCTTTGGACTTTGGAGGAAACAACATTTTTAGATCAGCCAAACATAACGCATTTAAATATGTCAAACAACCTTTTCAGGACCATTCCTACTTTGATTACCAAGCTACAAAAGTTGAAATCTTTAGATCTTTCCAATAATTTGATCAGTTCTATTGATGAAACCATAAGGTGTAGTCTGGATAAAATGATGATTTCAAATCGGAGACTCGTCCTAAATTTGAATAACAACGCTTTGATCTGCTCGTGTGACACTCTAGACTTTCTTCTGTGGTTTGCAAAAACAAAAGTAACATTTAAGAACGGAAACACTTATAACTGTACAATGTCAAAAGGCAAGCAAGCCGTATTAAGGGAGGTAATACAAAATACGGAGAAGTACTTCTCGGACTGCAAAGCTACTTTATGGCTCCACGTTGGAATAATATTGGTTGCTAGTGCCTTTGGTATTTTCATACCTCTTTCTCTTCTTTATAACTATAGATGGAAAATAATTCTTTACATGTACAGAAAAGTCAGGCATGTTGTTGAAAAAAATTTACATGAAAACTATATGTACGACGCATATGTTTCTTATGAAGACAGAAGCGTAGCGTGGATACAAAAGTTTCTTCTTCCGAAAATTGAAGAAGAATGGGGACTTAAAGTCTGTTTACATGATCGAGATCTTCTTCCTGGGGATCTTATTGCAGATGCAAAAGCAGAATCAATTCAGCAAAGTAGACATGTTGTATTCATCATTACTGAACATTTTACCGAAGGAAAGTGGGGAAGATTCGAAATAGAAAGAGCAAAGTACGAAAAGTATACTACAAACTTTAGAAAAATAATTGTTATTTTACAAAATATTCAAATCAAGGATATTCCAGACGAAATAATTAACATTTCAAATGATGTATGCTTTATTGAATTGTCGTTGGACGAAAACGAAGCTGGTGACAATACAGATTATCAAAGCAAATGGCTTAGACTTAAGGCTCTTCTTTATTTAAATTAGAAATATATAAAATATCTACAATAATATCCATACTGCGCCTCAAAGTGAAGAACACAAAGATAATATATATTAAAACATCTCTGTGCATTAAACTAACCATGCTGTTGAGATGAACAGAAACTTAAGAATAAACATATTGAAACTATGGTAATTTACAGATTTAAATTATAGTTTATACGATAAATAATTCCTACCTACGTCAGGTGAGATATTTATAGCATACAAATTGAGAGAACATAGGTATGTTTAGAAATTACTGAGAGAACTGAGATATTTTAAGAAGATTTTTTAGCCAATCAGATAGGAGATATAAGTAAAGTATTAATAAGCTCGTTTTAAGCTGCCAGTTCATCGTAGCAGATTTTAATTTTGTTTCCCACCCGCCCCCACCTTTACCTCTTTAAAAATGTATACACGTATATAATGAATTAAATATTGGGGCTACTTACTATTGGTCATGTTAATTTCGGGGAAATTATTTTTAACCCCCAAGTCAATTATACATCAGTATAGTAAATATTCTTAATTATCAGTTCCAATTATTAAGTTATCTTATAAGTAAGCATGGGATTATTTTGCATATCGTGCTGCTGGTATCCACCGCAGCCGACACCCGCTGCTGGTATCCACCGCAGCCGAAACCCCGCTGCTGGTATCCACCGCAGCCGAAAACCCGCTGCTGGTATCCACCGCAGCCGACACAATGTTGCAGGTATCCACCGCATCCTATAGGTAATAGTTTATTTTTAGAATAATGTTTCAAATTGTTTAGATTAGGTAGATTTTTTATAAAGTGAGTAGCCCCCGAGAAAGCCAAAACATAGATACATTTATTGTTTGCTATATTGTTATATTTTTATATGTTGTCATGTAGTTTTAGCAATTATATAATGGAAGTAGTATAGCTTGTTTTTTATTAGTCTAGATAATAAATATATATACCACTATGCTATTTTATGATGTTTGTTGTTTTGACCTGGTTTTTGTTAACGTATCAGTATGTCGTCTTAGATATAATGCGAGGTCCGGGACCGGAATTACTTTAGACAATAGCTTTTACTAATTGTCATTTAGGGAGCACGTGTGCTTATACATATAAATTTAACATTTTGGTTGTCGTCGTTTGTCTTTGGTTAGTCGTTTTTTCAAGTTACTTATACTAGCTAAAATATGATTGTATAAAATAAGTTATAAACTGTTTTCGAGTAATTGAATCTCCACAGACTTTTATTGTGTGAAAATAAGGTTTTTTTTCCTGTAAGAAAGCGCCATCACAAAGAGCTGTTTGTGATTTTATATAAAAAGACAATGTGGTATGATTGTCAATGAGACAAATCTCCACAAGAGACCAAACAACAACTATAGGTCACCGTATGGCCTTCAACAATGAACAAAGCCCATACCGCATAGTCAGCTATAAAAGGCCCCGAAATGACAAATGTAAAACAATTCAAACGAGAAAACTAACGGCCTAATTTATGTTCAAAATAATGAACGAAAAAAAAATATGTTACACAGCAACAAACGGCAACCACTGAGTTACAGGCTCCTGAATGAATATTTACATTGCAGCATTTGATTTGTCCAAAACTGCAAAACATGGATTACCAGCAAATTCTTTTTTCTCATACATGAAATACATTTTACATAATGATCCCATTAATGACCTCAAATAGGAAGTTGTATGACTATTTCATAATTGATTGCATTTCGTAAACCAAGAAGAGATAATAAAGAAATCAAGGTTAGTTTTCTTTTATAATTACCTTGTCATCACATAATTTTTCATACCAATCTTATTTTAAAATTTATTGCATGATAAGAAACACTATATATATATAGCCACATTCAAAATCTATGATTACAAAATGAGACCCCTCAAAAAATTAATGGCATTGACTTCACGGAAAGAACAATCCTTACGTCTCAGAAAATTTTACTAAATACCATAACAGGGTGTACATTTCGTTATTGAAAATTTTTATCAGACTTGTCATCCATATGTTGATCAGTGATTGTATAGTAGGAGAAATATAAAATACATTCACATTGCATTTATATTTGATGACTTATAGTGACATAAGAGTCATTGCCTTTAAGTGAGTAATATTTTTTTTTTAATTTAGAAATATATCCTTGCCACGAAGAAACCTTGGTTAAGTAGTTCTTGTTAAAAATAGTCAATTTTCTCTCAAACAACATTGATTGTAATTACAAGCGTTTTTTTCCAATGTAGATGCTGCTCTCCTAGACTAATATTTTTCGGATAACTTGACAATGTTAATAATTGGGTTCTTATAAGTTTGATAACTTTGATAAAAATCAAATAAAGTTGTTAAAACAACTCAAATATGAGTTTACTACAATTTGTAACGTAATATTTTACAATAATGGTATCATAATTAGTCAATTACATGTAGCTGCAATGTTCTGCATTTTTCACTTTTTGTTCGTGTGTGTGTTAGACCTTTTTGTCATTGGTTGTCTGTTTAAGCATGATATTAACCAAGGTGATATTTAAGACGCTTTAAAACATTATTTGATCGTGTGTTTAAAACAATGTATCGGAAAAATGAATTAAAAAGTATACATAAGGATATTATTAGGTTATTTGTCCATGAAAACATCGGTGACAATGTGTTTTACTGACGAATTTAAATATTTTGCCAAAGAATATGAACATGATGAACAAGAAACATGATATATATATTTACACTTATGTTTGACTCTTGATAGTAGATACAGTTATATGTAATTGATACAAGTGGGTGTTTTAAATAAATGAGAATAAAATAGTCACAAACTGATATAAAGTGAATTTTAAGTCATCCATTTTCAAATATATTTGTCAGCATTAGACGTGGTTATTATATATATACATGTGTACATGTTTTTGTGCTATCACTTTGATACTAGGAAAGAACGAAATATATGTGTTGCAAAACAGGAATATACTTTTCACAGTGTTGGCATGGTTAGTAGTTGATGGATTATATTCCAATTACATGTATTTGACACATAAAATTGAGCTTTACTGTACTACAAACATGGCCAGACCTAAATTTATAACGCTAGAAGGTTTTTTGTATTGAAATGTCATATATTTATAAAGAACTAACATTAACGGTTCCAATTGTACTGCACCAAATGCGTATTTTGATAATTAAGTTATTTTCAGTGATTCTTGAGGCACAAATATTTAAAACCCAAAATCTAATATAAACGTTGGAGAGCTGATAAACCCCCAAAAAGGACCAACACTATAGCCCATCACAGACAAAGAATCAGAACTACGCATGAGGAAGATGCGTTGTGGATTCAAAATGAACAGTACGTAACAGAATGAAATTTTCGGGAGTTGAATAAAAGTATCTTTAGACTTTGAAATACACCAACGTTAAAGAAGTTAACTGATGTGATGTTCAAATGTCGTTAATCAATCTAAGATATACAAACAATGCAAAAACAATTAAGGGGATCGCTTGAACTTTAAAAGGATATGTCTACAGAATAATCGTCTCTTGCTATGTATGCATCAGCCACCATGCGAATCTAGGCTCTGTCAAAACATCACGACAAAGAATAGATACATTCGGTTAATTAACTCTACCGATCACTTTTCTTGTATCGTAGGATCCAAGACCCCAATAATGTGTCTCGCGTGAGTGGAGACATATCGCGTGCAATCGTATAGGTGAATATTTTGTCGATTTCAGTCCTATTGTATTGTAAGCCTGGTATCTTTATGTGTCCTTACAATCACTAATCACTAATGGTAGAGGTTTCGTTTCTGAAGGTATCACCAGCCCAGTAATCAGTACTTTTATGCTGACTTGAAATATCATTGATATGATATTTATTTTGTAAATTTACTGTATGAAATGTTAAAATAATCGAAATACTTAGGTTTTTCTACCCAAGGCCTAAGCCGTATTCAACACAAATATAAGGAATTTACGGGTTTTAAATCTCTTCAACTTTGTATTCCATTTAGCCTACTTTGTTAACATCATATGATTTTGAGTTGATGAAAAATTTAAGAAATCGTGTATTTTTTATCAACACGTGATTTTCATGATTCCTGCCCAAATTGTCATTGTCTTAAGATAACGTATATACACGTATCCCTTACCTATCATACGATTGATTCTAATTATAAGTCATTGTATTTTTTGTGACATTTTCTTTTACTAAACTTTGCAAATGAACGTTCCATGAATGAGGGTGGTAAAGGGTTATTTTCGTGCAACGTTTTCGGCCTTTTTATTTCACGTGTTTTCGTGTTTTGACGTTTTATTTCTCGTTTTCTCGTGTTTGGTCAGATGTGCGTGCCTCGTGTTTCCCCTTATTTATTTTCCGTGTTTCGTGTCGGTACTCTTTATTTCTGGTGCTTGTCTCGCATTTAATTAAAAAGTAAACCGGGACTAATTCAAAGTCATTCATATTGTTTTAAATTGTGTATTAATGAACTGTAGCCTATAAGTACTCAAATCAGATGCAACTAGCGGACGCTAAAAGGTGACCGCAGGGTCTTCATGTCCATTAATAATGACTGCATGATCTTCGTTTTACCCGATTTTTATTTTCCGTGCAACGTTTTTGCGATTTTTATTTCACGTGTTTCCGTGTTCAGACCCCCATTACTTCTTCCGAGTTTTATAGTGTTATAGCTCGCCGTAAAATTAGACGACCCTCTCTTTTTAAAAATAACTGAAACTAAATAACTATTAATACAAAAATAATTAACAAAGAAGAAGAAACTTCAATAAATCGCATTAGCTTCCCATTTCAAGCATATAATGAAATTTATAGAAGAAATTCCCTATATAGATTGTATTTTATAAGGTGTGCTCGATTAGGGATTATACCGATTGGTTTTGTTTAATCTGAATGACAGTTTAAATACTATAATATGAAATAAAATACACACGACATTTTTGCATCATCTTTTATATGCACATGTTATTTTATCCTTTTTATTGATATACAGTTGATAGGCATCATTGAATTGACTTAGACTGCATTTACAATTGATAGACTTTTGTCATAAGTAAGAAACATACACATATATTCATGTACACATGTATATTTAAAACATATGAAACAAGAATGTGTTTTAGTTATTGAACAATCAAGACGGAATATGTTAGTAATACTTCACAGCTTCGATGACTCTACTTGATTCGAAAAACGCCGAGGGTCAATTTAAAGGAACGATTTGGAGATTTTTTTTTCTCAAGCAAACACAATTTTATATGCGGAGGGCATTGTCAGTCCATTGCTCCTGGGAAAATTCTCCTGTGTAAAGAAAGGGGAAAATATGTCTTTACGCAGCAAAACGTGGTTATTTGTTAGATAATTAACTTTTCTAATTTGCCAGCTTTTCCAGAAAGTTCATGTTATTTGGGGAATTCGGTTTTGATTTTTTTTTAATGTTTTTTTTAATATATTTACAATTGTATAATTATATAGATTCGGGACGATTTAGAGTTTAACATTTTGTGTTGACACCTCCAACATATAGTATTCAACAATTAGACTCCTTTATATCCTATATCTTTTTTGGTTACTGTTAACTGCCGTTTGGGTTGCTGTCTCATTGACGTACACCCACATCTCCTTTTATTCATACATGTTTAGTTCCGTTTGATGTACTTCAAAATCGGTCCATGGCAAATCACAATAAGACAGTTATTGTAAATAAATTTAAACGTTTTTCCTTCTTTCAATGATATTATCAGGAAAATTAGTTGAAGAGAAATGTGCCAAAATTAAATGAACACAGTAAAGCGGAAAAACATATAATTCCCCCTCCCCCTCTTTTCCATTTTAAACTGTGTTCGGCGGCTTTGCATCTTTACGAGGTCTATTGATCTGCAGCTTTCTTTTTTCACCTGTTTAGGCACATGCTGAAAATGTGTTCTCATTA